GGTGCCCGGATGGTGGTATCCCCTTCTGTCTGCTGTGTCCGGTCAAGCGGGTTTCACTTCACTGAGTGTGTCACATATGTCGGGTGTTTGAGTTGATTTCTTATTTTGGGTGAGTCCCCCCTCGCACTAAGCCCCTGTCCATACACTCGGCTCCAGCCCCCTCCTTTTTGTTTGATTTCCCTATTTAGATTTGCTTTTGTATGAATGAAACTGAAATATTAACTATTTAACAATAAAATTGTATATTTCTCTATAAATACCTGAACCATGCCTCATGCCTTACTGAGTAAACTTACCTGTGTGCTTTCCAAATTAATTCTCTGGGTGAAATTCCTAGGGTGGCATTTTTGGTTCCTTTCCCTAATTTGGTTGTTGGTCAAATTATTAGGTTTATTTTCACTTTATCCTCACCACAACATAAGCACATGACCTCATGGAAAGAACTTGAGATTCATCTTGACAAGGGCCAAACAATAGAGCTAAAATGGCACTAATAGAGGCTAAAAGGAGGAGGTGGTGTGATGTCCTGACCAGGTTGGTGGCCATCATACAGTCATTGGCAGAGTGAAATATTGCTCTCAGGGGAACCACAGACACACTTCATGAACCAAATAATGGCAACTTCCTAAAAGAAGTAGAGCTCATGGCCAAATTTGATCCTGTATTGAAGCAGCATATTGCTGACGTGGAAAAAATATTCAAAATGAACTTATTGATTTCATTGGTGGAAAGCTCCTGGAAGCTATAGTCAAAGAAATTCAACAAAACAAATACTTCTCAATCCTTTTGGATTGCACCCCTGATTTGAGCCATAGAGAGCAACTGTCGGTCATCATTCGACTGCAGTTGAGGACACTCCACAAATAAAAACATTTTGTGGGGTTCCTTGAGGCAGAAGAGTCCACTGGAGAAAACCTTTCAACCCTCATCCTAAGGAGACCTGAAGAGCTCAGCATCCCATTTGAAGACTGCAGAGGGCAGTCTTATGACAATGGTGCCAATATCATAGGGAAGAGGAAAGGTGTCCAAGCCAGACTTCTTGAAAAAAATCCCAGAGCTTTATTTGTGCCATGCAAAGCACACACAGTGAATCTGGTGGTAGCTGATGCAGCAAAAAGCTCTGCAGATGCCACCAGCTACTTTGGCTACCTGCAGAAGCTTTTCACACTATTTTCTGCCTCCACACAGATGGTCCATCTTAAAAAAACATGTGACCACAACGCTGAAATCCTGGTCAGATACTAGATGGGAGAGTCTTATCAACAGTGTAGAGGCTGTGAGATACCAGGCTGCAGAAGTCAGGGATGCACTTATGGAGGTGAGGGACAACGCCACAGATCCAGACATAAAAATCAAGGCACAATCTTTGGCTGAAGAGGTTGGATCTTACCGCTTCTCAATCTCTACTGTGGTATGGCATGACATCCTGACCAAAATTCAGCATGTCAGCAAATTATTACAATCAGAGACAATGCAGATGGATGTTGCAGTCAACCTTCTGAGGAAAACTGAAGCCTCTCTTATCACACTCCAAAAACAGATGTGTCAAAAAACAACACACATGGCTGTGTGATTATCATTTTGACTCATGTTGTGTAGCTTTTAGCACACAATGTGTAATTTTTTCTTTGTGCCCCTGGAAAGATTGACACAGTAAATGTGTACCGTAATTTTCGGACTATAAGCCGCGCCTGAATATAAGCCGCAGCAGCTAAATTGAATGATGTGTACATATATAAGCCGCACTGGACTATAAGCCGCAGGTGTTTTAATGTTTAGCTCTATTTCCTTCTTTTACAGCCAGATTGACTGCCTTTAACTTAAAAGCTGCATCATATGCATTTCTCCGTTTGTTTTCCATAATGAGGGTTTGTGCATGAAAACTTCCTTTGCACAAACTGTCTCGCTCTCGTAATGTCTGTCTGTCTTGCTCTCGTTCTGTCTCTCGTACCACTCTCGGTTCCACTTTTACTTTTGCGTGCTACCTGTCTCACTCTTTTCCGGCCTCCAGCTTTTCCTGCTGGAGCCCGCCGCTTGAAGGTGCTGGGCGCGGACCGGTCATAGAGCCCATAGAGTTAAAGTTGGTGGACTGTAACCTGTAAAATCCATAGATTTAGGAGGTCCCCTAGTGGCCGTTAGCTGTAAAAATCCATAGATTAGCCGCACCGTTATATAAACCGCAGGGTCGAAAAATGGGAAAAAAGGTCCGAAAATTACGGTACATACTCTGGGGGGAAGGCAGTTTGTGTTTCTGTAATAAAAATAACACAAATATTTTTGGTAGCATATAAGAAGCTCTAAAATGAATCAACACCATGAAAAAATTATTAAAAACAAGTATCTTAACCTTATCAAATTTCAAAAATAACGGCAGTTTTTTTGTTGTCCAATCACGGTGGTGCTACTGTCTTTTTGAACTGCGACCTCTGCTCCGCCCGCTCTTTTCACTGTTGCCTGTCTCAAGAGGATCAGGATGCTGTCGGACTCCTCAGAGCCACCTGTAAGTTACATTATTTATTTGGTGACATTCACATTTATTAACTCTCTAATCTGGAAAAAACAACATTCACAATGTGGTAAGTAACTCAGATAAGTTTCTCATTATTTTAACCTGCTCTTGGTTATAGTTAGAACAAAAGCTAACTAAGTTAGCTTTGCTAACATTGGATGGTTGCCATAATCTCAGTCAGTCTATGTTAGCTGCCCGGTTAACGCTAGCTAACTCATGAACATTAATACTATCTTATATGATGGAGGATGATGCTAGACAAAATAAAACCACGCCATTAAGTAAACCTTTAATTTATTGGCCAGTGTAAGGCAAGTCACTTGATATTACTGCTTGTGTGTGTGTATATAATAACGAGTAACGTATTCACAAATTATGCATTACTTCATAACCGCGAAGAGGCAGCCATCTTGGTAACGCCTCCGGATAAACAAGAGCAGGCTAGCTAAATGAATGGGGAGTGAGCCATAACTGCACTTTCGCTGGTCACGGGAACATAAAAATTGCAGGGATAGAATCACCAGTAAAGTCTGATGTAAAGTTTGATGACTTTGCCCCAAAATAATGTTTAAAAGTCGCTTTTTTGTGGCGTTCTTAAAACGCCTCTGGGCAGACTGGAAGTGGAAGCATTGGTGCTTTTATTCTGAAGCAGGCTCGCCTCGGAGTGGAAGTGTTAATGCAGTTAGCTTCTGTAAAGTCAACAGAAAGTCAGACAACAACAGCGGTAAATTAAACGTGTGCTGATAATTTCAGTAGGAGACGTTTACATTTGAAATGAAATGGATTGGATAACAGCCGTCAAACGCCGTTAATGTTACGTGTTTTGTCTGCGGTGAATAACTTGGCACTGCTTGCTTATAACCTTTAAATGCCTCGGCAACGTTATGGTCTTCCTTTGATTTTTGCTCTGCCTGTTCAGTTTGTACCTGCTAACGTTAGTTTAATGTGACAACAAAATGTCGTGGGATGTTGGGCCGTTTTTAAAAAAGGAAAAACAACTAACGTTAGAGAGAAGTAAAGAGGATTGTGTGTTAAGTGCTGTTAACGTTACACAGTGTATTAGTTACTTTAAACTCTTGTTCATAAGTATCATATTCTGTCATGTTGGCCGTTGATTCTTTCTGCGTGTGATTGTTTGCTTTACATTCAGTTTAATAAAAAGGGGCTCAAAATAAAAACAGCTTGTATCAGTAGGAATGCATTAACTATTATATATATAACTACTCCATATTGTCAGCATCAGCAAAACCTGGGTTTTCGCCCAGCACTGAGCTCTACACCTTATCATGTCTCCCTATACCCCAACCAATATAGGATGTTCCAGTGCCAAATGAACAAGGAAGCCTGCTGTCTCTACTTCAGAGCAAAGCACCAGTGATACTTGACGAACACAAGGAAAAAGGAACGCTTAAAATAGAGACAAGGAGGCTCCTTGTCAAAGTATGCATCAGTCACTTGGTGGAGAAGCATGGATTGTAAGTATAAATTCAAAGAAGATTGCAGTTTTGAAACTGAAGCTAAAATGTCAGGCCTGATTGCAGTTCAATGTCTGTGGATTTTGCTCTTCTTCGGCCCCTCCAGTTACCCACCAATTGCTGAAAAGCTCCTTTTAGCAAAGAATATCGTCAACACTTTCCCATCCTTGAGGGTTCAAATTTAAGGAAAAGGAGATGGATTTGTAAGTAGCATCTTATTGTTTCTCGAAATTAGGGTTGTCCTGATCAAGTTTTCCCCCTCAAATTTTTATAAATTGCTGTTATTGCCTTTTGCTTGCAAGTCTTTTGTAGTGGTGTGGTGAGTGTGTAGGCTCTCCTAGGAACAGGGATTTGTTGTTTGTGTAGATTATAGAATTTTAAGCAGCAAAAGTATAACTTTTATCTCAGGGTGACTTATTGTCTACTATGTTGTTTTTATAACCTCAGGAGCATTTTTTTTGATCCAATATCACATTCTGGATTCTTGGAAATGAGACTGCGTAACATCCGCCGAAAGTTAGAAGCAGGTCAGCGTCGATACACAAAGCGCAAGATAAGCTGCAACACTGGGCCAGGCTTACAACAGGACCAGGGGGACAGCAGTGTGACCAATGAGATGATCACCCTCATGAAACGCCTACGGCCGTCTTCAGAGGCCCTTCCTTCAATCAAATCGGCAATGGAGAAGACATACACCCAGTGCAGATCATGGATTTCGAAGGACACTCCCACTATGGCTGAAATCTTCAATGAATACCCACCCTTTTTGGATGTGCCAAGTCTAGTAGGTCTTTCATTGCAGCTCAGTTATTAATTAATTATTTACTTTCATTACTTCATATATTTTAATAGGCAGTGCAAACATTGTGATATTATTATTGATAATGTTGTATTGTATGTCTCCTCTTTTTGCAAGCTGGATATCGAGTTTGGCAAAATGATGGAAAGACGGACCTGTTTATCAGACGATGGGAAGCCAGCATCATTTCAAAGCTGAAGGCAGTGGCGGCCAAGGAAAGAGGAGATGTTGCATCTCTTACGGATGGGATGGAAGACCAAACAGATGGTGGGTGTGTGTTTTATTTTCTTTACATACTGCACACAGCTCTTTTGTATAATAAATTATCTCAAAGGTGACCAAATATTTTAAACTAAAGGGTCAAGGGCTGAAACACAACTTGAAAGGTATACCATGGGCTAAATTAGGGCTGAAACCATTTATCAAGTAATTTGTATAATTCGATTAAAATGTAGGAACCCATGCTTTAATTTCCAATTTACCACTGATGTTTTTGATTAGTAGAGTCCTTTCCCAGCACACTCTTAACTAATGTAAGGTCAATGTGGCCAACCTCTTGTTTTGCTTTTTAAAATAAATACTAAAATCTACTTAATGTGCACAACAAAGTAGTATTTATTGCGGGGCTTGTGTAAACTGGAACATGCCCCAATTGATTTTGCACATGTTTGCAACTAATCAGGTATCTGGTATGAGGAACAACATGGATTGTGCTAAGAAAATGCTCTTATAAACGTATCATTGGTCAATTAGGAAATAGGGCTAAAATCTGAACTTATTTCAATCACTCACATCAAAATGGACCAAAAATTATGTAGAGGGCCAGAATTTCAGTTGCTCTACATTTAAACTTTTTTTTTTTTTTTTTTTAACCACTTATCTGTTCATTTGTTTTTCAGATGAAAAGTGCTACACAGTGCTGGTTATTCTCACACATCTTCTGCCACCAATGCCTGGGAGTCGCTGCAGTGTGAAATCTGCAATATCATTCCTACTTGACTTTGTACCGGTATGTTTTGAAAGAACTTACATTTGTAATGGTGTCCAGTGTTTCCCACAGATGGGGGGTAGTTGATATTGACTATCACTTTTCTAACGTTAACATAGCTGTCCTTATTAGCTAGGCTACTTGCTAATGACTTATTTGAAGGTGGCTCTTTGACATTGACAGCGCTGTGTTGGACAGATTTGTGCAGCGGTGTTCATGATTCTAAGCATATAATTCACACACGGGTCCTTTGTCAATGTGTTTGCGAGACAGAAACCGAGCGAGACGAGGTGCTGAGCGAATGTATGTGCTGTGCGCAGCTATTTCATCAAATATAATTTTACCCATTTTAAATAGAAGAAAAAAATCAACATGTGGCGGCCAGCGTTGATGATGTGGCGGGCTGCCACAAATAAATCAATGTGTGGGAAACACTGGGTGTCTACACTTCTATATAATGTGGTGTATATAGCATGTCAGTTAGACTTCGTACTTTTGAAAGTGCTTTTTGATCTCCTTAAATCAAATTTTTCATAATTTCTAAGGCTGGAACCAGCATAGCATCCCTCTGCAGCAACCCTGAGATGTCATCAAGGACCCAGCCGCAGCTGATCTGCATTGGCAGTCTGAAGAGCACAACACAACAGTACATCATTATTGGAAGGAATGACAGAGTGACCATTCCTGTAGATGATGGCCTAACATGCGATGCCATGGACAAGCTATTCAAGCTCTACTGGGTGTGTAACTTGGCCTATCCACCCCAGCTCAGCTCTGTGTTCACCTTCTTTGAATACATCTATGACTTGACCATCTCAACCAACAGGAGAGCCAAGGTACTAGAGCTTCTCTCAAAGCTTCAGGCAGCACAGTAAATCACAAGAGAATGTATACATGTCCAAAGTGCAGACAGTCAATATCCACAGAAGTAAAGAAAGTAATTTGGCATCTACGTGAAATACATGCCTTATCAGATGGACAGGACTTGAACATTATATGCAGCCAAGATGGTTGCCCACGGACCTATCATAACTTCAATTCATTTTCCAAACATCTTCACAGAGACCACCAGTCCACACAAACATTAATGGACAATGTGTCATTTCAAACTAATGACCACAGTCTATCAGATACATCTGAGACAGGGGCATCTATTACTGAGGAAACACCAGAAACTGTCCAATTAAAACTGCCATTCCTAGTGACAGTGTTGCTGCTTTTGTGGCACAAATGTATTCTTCATCAAATACAACTCTAATGGATGTAACGAGAAGTGTTACTTGTACACAAGAAGTGCTTGAGAGAACTGCAGAAAGTCTACAAAATTCAGCAACTACATTGTTGAATAATCTGCAGGTACCACTTAACAGTGAGTCTGTCCAGTCATTGATGAGCAAGTCACTGCTTCACCTTGCCAACAGACACTACTTTTCTGATGGGACGCCACTTTCATATAAACCAAATATTGCTCTCTCCAAACCAACCACACTTCACTGTGGTTGCTGGTCTACCACTCTCTTGATCTGCTAGTTAGAAGTTACACACACAGTCAGTATGGATACAGGGCCAGTGTGCTCCTCTTCTGTGCCGTAGCTGGTGGTGTCTCAAAAGAACATCTTGGTTGGACCCAACAAATGTATAGAACTTGCACTGCATATATGACCTAAAATGAAAATTAGCAGGAGACAAAACAATTAGTTGGTTTATGTTTTAACCAGAACACATGAAGAAAATAAAATTTTTCAGCTGATATTACAATGAGTGTGCTCATCAGGAAAAGGGGCTCAGCTCATCCACACTATTCTAGAAATGTTAGTAACTCTAGCCCATTTTACATTTTGCTCAGGATTAAAGAGGATAGTGGACAAGAGCAGCCATTTAATGCAAGTGTTTTTTAAAAAATTTGTAATTAATTTAATTCTCATCCTTTGCCTTGTTTGTCATTCATGAATTCATATTTCACATGAGTTGTTGTGCCACAAACAAGCACTTGATTTCGCAGAGAAACAGCCAGGTAAAATACTTGTCTGTGTTAGCCTTGGCTGCTCATGTATAGACCGAATCAGCTGTTTGTTTACAATTACTTTCGGGTGGAAAACCCCTGCATTAGCTTACCAACAAATTCATTGTCTTTCTCCTTATTTCAAAGTATATACATCTCATTCATCTCAAATGTACAGTGCCCGCATAACTCAACATCTTAATATCAACACTTTACCTGATGTTAGAGTGGAGACCTGTTTCACCTGTTCAAGCTAATTTGACAGCTTGAGTTTACAGTACCACAGTGCACAATGTTACTGTTACAGCTAAAGATGACAACCTAAGTTCATTTCTAATATCTCCACCAGCGAGTTATCTGACTGTTGTTGTTAGCCAACGTCACAATGACTCAGTCTATGCGTCGCTTAGCAACACTAGTTTGCTACAGGGTTAATCATAGAACGCTTTATTTGCTGTTACCGGCTGAGCCCCATAGCCCCAAGAACGAGTCCGCAAGCCGGCATGACCCCAGTTACCCAGCCACATCGCCAATCACTTACCGTTAACAGACGCTAGCTGAAATCCAACAACGAACATTTACTTTAGTCTGCAACAAAGTGGACAAGTTGGTGCGATTCTAAATTCATAAAAAGGCACACTGCGCGGTGCTGAGAACCTTTCTGTCCATAAGCCCCCAGGGCAGGGTTGCCAGGTCAGCCCGACAATTCATTTTTGAAACTGATAAATGGTAATAAAAACTTCCCCATCTCAAACTGTGAGGTACAGAGGGATTTTTCTAAGTAATGTTATTTTACTGTAGTCTTTGCTCTATCTGCTTTTATCTGAATGATGGATACTATAAATGATCGATATACTGCTGGTCTTTCTTCAGGCAGCTCCACACCCCCACATGAATGTGTGCAGAAGGAGAGGGAGAGGAACAGAGTAGCTCAGTGCATCATGGGAAGTTCCCTGGCAGTCTAGGCCTATAGCAGCATAACTAAGGGATGGTTTAGGACTCACCTGGGCCAGCTCTAGCTATACGCTTTATCAAAGAGGAATATATTCTACCTACTCTTAACCATGAAAAGGGTGTCTGCCTCCTGAACCCAAAATGGAAGGAGAGGAGCTTGGTAGATGAAGGCCCTTGCTCCTCTTTTTGAAGACTCAAGTGTTTGTTGCTTCGGTACAACCTTTGCCTGAGATAATGAAGTCTATTCTGTTGTGTATTTGTCATCTGTACATATTTTGTGTGGATTACAATAATAAATTACTAAATAAATTGATACATCTACTGCTGTCTTCTCTACCGCAGCAGGTGGAGCTGCACCGTGCATGAAAGCTTCAATAAACAGCTGAGTCACAGCTGATGTTAAGCCAAGGATCGCATCATGTCAAAAAGCTCAATATAGCAGATATAGCAGATATACCGATAAGTTGGCCTGAATCCAGTCTTAGCAGTTATATATATATTGGAACTAGGGATGTCCCGATCCAATCTCAAACAGTTACTCTAACTTTTAAATGCCAAACTGACACTACTTATTTTGTTCATTTTCATTATTACGCACAAAGCACCACCTCTAAGATTAGGACTGTGACAGATCTTTGTTGTTCCTGAGTGGTGTCATACGTAAGACTGCAGAGGTGTCAAGCATTCAGATTACATACCAAAGTGTAAAGCGCAAGGCAGCAACCCTCCAACGCCACTCTTTTAATTTTGCTGTGTTTATTTTCCATTTTCTGTCCATTTTTTCTGGAATCCACACAAGTACCACAAATCGTGGCAGGCAGGAAAATATGTTTACAACAATGGTGGCGCCGCATATGCTTACTGAACACAGCAGAGGATGAGGACCTGTTGCTGCCAGAAATTGAACCAGACAGTTACAGTGACCCTGATTAACAAATTCCATAAAAGGAAAGGTTTATTACCCTGTAATTCAGTAATGCAGTCACTTAAACTGCTTTTAAACTGAATTGTTTGTGTCATGGTTCAGTCTTTTATGGTTTGTCTAATTTTGAAGTTGTGTGTTTTCTGTTTTATTTTGTACTCTCCTCTCCCTCCTACTTCAGATCTCTTCACTTCCTGCTCTGTTTCCCGCCTGTTGTAATTGTTTGCCCTGCCCTAATCACCCACACTCAGTGGCGGTCCTTCCTACAGGCGACATAGGCACTTGCCTAGGGCGCCACCTGGTGAGGGGCGCCAAATATGCGGCGAGGAAAAAAAATATAATTAAAATTATAATGTCTATTTATTTTTTCAACAGTTTTTGCCATCCCCCTATCTACAACAATACTTTGACATAAAAAATAAATTAGTAAGAAGTAAAAGAAATGACAATTCTGACGTGACCTTTAGCTGTTACACATCACGGTCACAACATGCTAGCGCGCACACTGATCCGCAGTCGCTCGGTCGGCTGTGTGTCGACGGGTTACTATGGTTACAGCTACAGTCCATGGAAAATGAAACGGCAAAAGCCATCCGGAGCGCACTTTATAAAGCGCAGAAAAGAAGGGCAGGAGAAATGTGCAAAAGAGAGAGGTTCGTAATTTTGATTATATAGTTATTAAATTCACCGAGCATTCACGATATAATCATGCTAGCTAGCAGTAGCATCATGTCATCTTACTAGTAAGCTAACGTTATTTTTTTGTTTTTCGAGAAAAACACTATACAAGTTGATGCTAGCTACAGTATATGGCACTTTGCATCTCATTGTGTGCTATGAAATAAAAAATTTAGTGGATGTGAAAAGTCTATTATTACTGTCCATATAGCAACATTAGATTAGATTCAGTTTTGGATTAGTTTTAACTTTGCTGTCAAGTTCAAGTACGGTGAAATACAGTTTTACATCTAACCAGAGTGCAAACTAGTAAAGTGGAGTGAGTCAGTGCCTCATATGCAGATGAGGATATCAACATGTGGACTTTATAGACAGAGGTGCAAAAGATGAGCATATGTTATATACTGATGAACAGAGATAAGTATAAGTTACATACTGATGGAATGTTGTATCAAAAAAGTTGAGCATAATAATAATAAATGATATATACAGGTAGAGTATGTTTATGCAGAGAGGTGTGCACATAGAGCTGTGAGCATATGGGACTAAGGCTGTGTCCTGTATCACTCACTACTCCCTATATAGTCCACTATGTTGGACTCCCTATGTAGTGACTAGTAGGGAATGAGTGAGTGATTTCGGACACATCCTAAGTGAATTTATATAAAAAGAATGTCAAAATTTAAATGCTTAGCAACTTAATAATAATATCATTTGAAATTATACACTGAGATAGTGACTTCCTGCCAAGCACATTTCCAGCTGTATCAAAATATTGCCATGGATGAAAGGATGGTTGTATTCAAAGCCTGCATCAGTATGAACCAGTACATGTACAAGTACAAACTCTTTGTGCTTGCTAACAGAAAACTTCCAGGGAGCAGAAATGATAATGATACAGGTGAATAGCTCTGCATTGCATTAAGAAAAAAAAAAAAATCTGCATCCAAGTTCCTTAATGTTTTTTTCTACTTTACTAAATAACAAGGTACGTCAGAAACAAGTGCTGTGTTTTGTGTACTTGCAGAGTTAGCGGCTTGGCACTAATGCTTCTTGTTGCTCCTATAAAATCAACTGGCAAGGTTGTGTCTGTAGCCATGGATGCCAATTTCAGCTTTTCATTCTCTGCTAACCAGGAACCATAAGACAAAGGGCAGGCTTGCATGTTAGCGGCGGCCAAGGTCCGGGAGCTTGGTCTCCTGTGAGGGCAAAAGCAAGGAAAGAGGGAAGAGAGAGACAGAGAGAACAAAAGACAACCAAGGGCCAGATCCAATCCAATCCAATCCAACTTTATTTGTTAAGCACTGTAAAACAACCAAAGTTGACCAAAGTGCTGTACAGGAGAATAAATAGGACATCATAAATAAAAGACATAACAGCTCACATGAGGCGCAAAATTACATATAAAATACAACAATAAAATGAAAAGACATAAAACATGAGTAAAAATAATAACCACGTAATAAAAAGCAATCAAAATAAGAAATTAAATCAAGTAAATAAAGTCGACATCTTACTAGGTGTCAAAGGCCACAGAGAAGAGATGGGTTTTAAGACTGGTTTTAAAAACAGACAGAGAAGAGGCCTGTTTAACGTGCAGAGGCAGATCATTCCATAATTTAGGAGCAGACTCAGCAAAGGCACGGTCCCCTCTGAGCTTCCGCTTAGTTTTAGGCACACTCAGGAGCAGCTGATCATCTGACCTGAGGGGGCAGACGGGTATATAGGGGTGTAGAAGCTCAGAGAGGTAGGGCGGGGCAAGACCATTCAGGGATTTAAAAGCAAATACATTTTTTTAAAAATGGATCCTAAATTGAATAGGCAGCCAGTGGAGTGAGGCTAAAATGGGGGAAATGTGCCAGTGCCATGTGCCAGTTAAAATACGTGCAGCAGCATTTTGTACCATCTGGAGACGGGCGATGGAGGACCCACTAACCCCCACATATAGTGCATTACAGTAATGCAGTATACATGGTTTATACAGATGTATAAACCATGCGTACACATGCAAGTGTCCTCATGCCACATTCCATGCAAGTATCCAAATGTATAAAAATCCGCAGGCAGTGAAACTGTGCGTTCTGATACGCATCTTTAAAACCATGCATACCCCACATAGTCCTTTTGAGTCTTACATTGTGATGTTGCGAGTTGGCAAGGGGATAAAGGGGAAAATAAGTGTGAATGTTGGTGACTCTCCATAGTTTTATTCTTTCACTGCACTGTTAGGATGCAATCTGTAGTTTAAAAAAAAACTTCACTAACATGGGGAAATACAAATAAATGATCTTTAAAAAAACATTATTATACTGTATTATTGAGGGATAAGACCTACACCTTCACGTGTGAGTGACCAATTAACTTTGGTGCTTCTGGAAGATGTAGCTGTTGTGTAATTTAGATGAGAATAAAGAGACCATTTTGTCACTTTGATCCACCATTACCTCAAGTTCATATTATGTTAAATTGTGCTTCTTCATTTGCTTCTTCGACGCTCCTGTCATTTCTCCTCAAAACGTATCTAAATGCTGATCCTTTATATGCAAATGAGGCAATTGGGGGTGAGTTTTATACCCATGGCCCCTGGTGTTTTCTTGACCTGGTCACTGCGCATCATCCCAGTTACCACATGTCATCAGAGGGTCTCAGGTTTAGGAAATAGGAAGTGACCTCTTAGAGGTCACAGGAAGTAACACATCAAAACAAAGGTGCAATTCAATCACACAAAATGAACAAATTCCTATTTAAAGGTCCCAGAGATCCCAACATGACTTAGCACAGGAGAGCTCAATTCGACACATTTTAAATGGACAATTAAATGCCATCTTGACTTTCCCCAGATTTAAGTGCTGAGAATGGGATTGGGCAGAGGTGAGGGTAGGGAGGATACAGAGATTAGTTCTATAACAGAGAGCTTTGGTCATAAAGCTGCAAGAGCTCAACAGATTCTCCTCTCTGTGCTGATGGAGACCTTGGAGGGAAGTGAACTCTGCTTTCCACAACTCCTCAACACCTCCTGCAAGAAGACTGGGCGTCCTCACTTTGAGACCATGCTGATTTACATTCTGCTGTACTCCATCTCTCTGCTCACTGCAGTTCTTAACCTGCTGGTCATCATCTCTATCTCCCACTTCAAGTAGATAATCATTCATTTATGAAATTGACAGATAGTGATAAAGAATTGCCTGATCTTAAACTGTGAGGAACAGAGTAGTTTTTCCAAGTTGTGTTATTGTATTGTATTTATGTGTCTGTTTTTATCTGAATAATGATTGATACCATAAATAATGATGAATATATTGCTTCCTCTCCAGGCAGCTCCACACCTCCACCAACCTCATCCTCCTCTCTCTGGCTGTTTCAGATTTCTTCGTGGGCCTCGTAATGTGCTTTCAAATAATTCATTTAGACGGCTGCTGGTTCTTTGGTGACCTCATTTGTGCTCTGGATCAGTATCTAGCATACATTGTTACCTCTGCCTCAGTAGGAACCATGGTGCTTATATCTGTTGACCGCTATGTGGCTATTTGTCATCCTCTGCATTACTCCACTGAAATCACAGAAAAAAGAGTTCAAGTCTGTGTTTGTCTGTGTTGGGTGTGTTCTGTAATCTTTCAAAGTCTGATTCTGAAGGATATGCTGGAACAACCAGGCAGGTATAACTCCTGTGTTGGAGAGTGTATCATTGTTGTTAACTATATAGCTGGATTTGTAGATCTTATTTTTTCCTTTATCGTTCCCATTACTGTCATTGTAGTTCTGTATATGAGAATTTTTGTGGTGGCTGTGTCTCAGGCTCGTGCCATGCGGTCACATATTGCAGCTGTCACACTCCAGAAATCAGTGAAAGTAACTGCTAAAAAATCTGAAATTAAAGCAGCCAGGACTCTTGGTGTTGTTGTAGTTGTGTTTATAATATGTCTCTGCCCTTATTATTGTGTTGCTCTTACAGGCCAAGATAACTTTCTCAATGCATCATCTGCATTTTTTGTTATATGTTTATTCTATTTTAACTCCTGTCTAAACCCTGTGATCTATGTCCTTTTTTATCCCTGGTTTAGAAAATCCATTAAGCTCATTGTTACATTGAAGATACTGCAGACTGATTCCTGTGAAGCCAACATGTAGAGAAACTCTGCATGGTGCCTGCAATAAGACCCTCAGCATGAATAGAAAAATTGCTTCTTCAAACTGTGAAGGTGTTCATACCCATATTTAAAGAGTGTGTTACCACGTTTTGCTATCATTTTATCTTCGGCTAGCTTCTCTGTCTCTCCTCTGCAGGCAGAGGGCAGGGTTCAGCTCCACACACAAGTGGACAACTCAAGTAAAGTAGAAATTTAATCCTGCTTTATCCATAGTTGTTGTTACACCCACAGCATGCTTGTTACTCTAATAAAGATTATAGCTGTATGTAGAGTACGTGTTTATTTTAGTTCTCTAAATCTGAGAGGACATGAGGAAGGTCTGATACTGACTGATGTTTGTGTTTGATGTCAGTAATATTATTTATTTTACTGAAATTTTAGATTGTCATTTATACAGTGTCGTAAACGTTATTGTTGTTGCTCAAGACAGAATATTTAATTATATTTAATATATAAAATATATTCTATTCCTGTTAAAGACATTTTTCTTGCACATGTCTGTATCTAATGTGAAAAACTACAATCTGTGTTATTGTATTTACATATGCAGAGCACTGCAGTGTTGTGTCAAAGTAAAAAAACTGCATCAAAAGTAGAACTCAATTCTCTTTCAAATAAACTGACAATCTGCACGCAAAAATAATTGATACCCTTTTCTGTTGGTCCACTTATTGGACCAGTTTAAGAGGACTTGGTATGGTTAATTTGAAAAGGATTATTGTGCTGTGTTCTGCCTTCCTGCCATGAATTGCATGCACCTTGCAGGAGTACACACAGCCACAGCAAAAACTACCAGACATGTAAATGCTTTTTAAAGCAATATTCTCTTTAAAAATGATATAATATTATTTGTCAAGTACATCAGTGACAGCATCATGCACACTCATTTTCTAAGGGTCACGAAAAAAAACACATATTCCATCTGGATATTCATAATTGTGCCTTATTCCTAATATAGCATAGAGGCAAGATCCAGACTCAATAATATCTGAACAGTAGGTGTACCAGAAGGCCAAGGTAAATGTATCACGACTGCAGTCTCCATGCTGCTGAAAGAAGCTATTCAGCTCAAACAGGCTGCATTACTGAACAAAGCACACCTAACCTTACAACCACCACCAAAACAAAGGAGAACTTTAATGATAGAGATGGCCACAAAAATTGTATCCTCACTACCAGAGGGCCAGATTGTGACAGTGCCCTTCCACCAGCAGGATACTGTAACCCCATTATTCAATTAGCCAATTATAGCTACTAAATTTATGAAAACAACCAAATATATACCGATAATCAAAGTTTATTTTACCAACATTGTTATATCTATAAAATGCTACAGGTACGTGTAGCAGAGATAGGAATTGGCAAATGATCAACAGTGCTAAACATATCATATTCAAATGCATTTAGTAATGCTTCTATTCATTTAATGAACTTTACACAGAAACAAAATAACATTCATTAGTGATATTCAATTATCTATCTTTAAAGTGCACGAACAATAAAAAAGTGCAACAATAACAAAAAAACAATATTCATGTTTGTATTTTTACTTTTATCATTACATGACATTTTTATCAGAAAAGCATGCATTTATCTCAAAGGTCACTGACCCTCGCCCACAAGTGGAACAGTGTTAAGTTCTGTCTCAATGAGATACTTGTGGCCTCTCCTGCTGGTGTGCAATGAATTGAATGTCAATGTTTGTGCATCCAATCTACATGAGCTGGAACAGAGTTTCATCTGTCAGCCTGTTTCTCTCTTTTGACTTGATGTGCTTCATTGTTAAGAAGCTGCTCTAACAGATGTAAGTGCTCCCAAGCATGCTGGCCATTGAAAGTGAAAAATCTCTAAGGAGTGGAAAGCAGGACTCGGGTAGTAGTCTCCAAAATGAAATTCCCCTCTCACTGAGCTTGAAAGAATGGCTCTGACAGTAGTTCGCACAGTTTGAGCTATAACTCTGGGGGCTGCTCACTGACAGCAGCAGAGAGGGGGCAGTGAATAAAGCAAATTGTTGCTGCGTAGTGTAGACATCTTGAAAGCGGTCTTTGAATTGCTGCTGCACTTATTCTATTTCAGCTCTGTACTATTGGACAGTCGGATGAAAAGCCTTTTGAACGCTTGAATAGGGCTAGGTTTTGTGTGCATAGAGATCTGACACAGTTTGGCCTCTTCCTTGCAACTGTATATTCAGGTGATTAAGATGTGAGGTAATATCTGCAAGGAAAATCTGTATCCCTGAGTGTACTGCAGTAAGCACTTGAGGGGGTGACTGATAAGAATCTGTTCACAGTCACAGGGGCAGACCAAAGGACCATTTGTGTTGAAGTACAGTACTGTTAATAGGATGCCAGATGTGTTTTTGTTTGGATGTACTAAAAGGTATATAAAGGAGAGCATTCTGGAAGTCTAGAGAGAACATCTATGCTTTGGTCTTCTCTCCATGCTGCATGAGTAAAGGAATTTGATTCATCACACTGGGTTCGTAATTCTTCCGAGACCTAGCAACTCAATATTGTGGGCAGGGAAAGTTCCGCTCCGACAAACGGAGGAGAGGATTCCGCCTGATGTCAGACTCAGGTGTTGGACAATGACCGCTCCATCCATTGGAAAAGGGAGTACAGTGTGTTTTGAATCTTGTCTCTTATACCCACCCTGTATATAAAGTATGCATTACATTAATGCACCCACGTTCTTCTGCACAGCTTTCTCTTTCTCTTCTTATCTTTATCTATTTATTTTTTGAAAGTACTTTATTTTTCTGTGTGATTTCTGTGTGATTTGAATTTGAATAATTGTATATTTGTATATTTGTATTTGTATATGTATATATTTTTATGCACCAACTGCACCAGGTCACATTCCTCGTAGGCATAAAAACCTACTTGGCAATAAACAAATTCTGATTCTGATTCTGATTCTGATAAATTCAAGAGAGAAAAAACCTAGCCATTTTTCCTTTGTGGTTGTGACTGTTTTGTTTCCGAGCTTGTTGGCTGAAGGTTCTGGCTACTGTTCTACTTTTGAAGACTATAGGAACCCCAAGTAGCCCTGCATTCAGAGAGCGCAGTGTTCTAGTAGGTACTAGGGATGGCTCGATACAACTTTTTCATGTCCGATACCGATATCAATATTGCAACTTAGAGTATCTTCCGTTACCGATATCTATCCGATACCTTCTTTTCTCCTCTTTTAAGTTGTTAATAATACATATAATTTGTATAGATATACTTTGCTTAATATGGATATCTAAAAACACCATGTTCAAACTGTGCAACAAATATTCTGCTCCCCTAAAGGAAGAAATAAAATAGCCCATGATTTGCCTAAAGCCATAAGCTCTTTATTTAAACTTCAAATCAGTGCAAACTACAAACTTGAATGTTTCTTCTTTCACATGTAACCTCTGGGGTTGAACTGTAAAACCTCCATATCAAACTAGATATAGAATGGACTCAATTCCAATGTTGCATTGAAGGCTATAGGACATATAGCTGCTTTAAATAACTGTCACCCTTTTTTGTAAGAGGGTACCCCTTTTTTATAAAAAAAAAGGGGGGGGAAAAATTAAATTTTTTGTTGTTGCCCAAAAAAAAAAAAAATTTCTTTTTAGAAACCCGGAGCCCCCCCCGGCCCCCCCCCCCCCCCCCCCTTTTGTTATAAAAATTAACATACAACATTGAAAGTTTTTCTACCCTCAACATCAAGTGATGAATCCAGTCTGAAATATGTATTTCTGTTTTAGATTTACAAGAGTAAAACACACACAAACACACAGACACACACACACACACACCGAAGACACACACACACACACACACACAGAGAGAGAGAGATAGAGAGAGACAGACACAGACACACACACAAATAGTTCTATAGTTAGGAAACCTCACACACCTGTCTTCGTACCATGGATCCAGTAGTGTGGCAACTGAGTATACTGGCTTGGATTCCAGGTCTCTGAAACGTCAGTTTACAGCCTCAAGGAGGGTCCTGTTCATGGTCTTGATTCCGTCATCAGCCTCATTTTCTCGACTGAGAATGCGTTTAAGGACACTCACGATAGGGATGACGTCAGATGCAGATGCTGATGAAGCGTTCACCTCCATTGTGAACTCCTCAAAAGGAGCAAGAGCTGCAACAATCTTTTCCAGTAGCCCCCACTGGCTTGCGGTCAGTGTGGCTGGCTCCGCCGTGTATGCACACAGGGCCCTTTTCTGTGCAGTGAGGCTCTGGATCATGTAATATGTACTGTTCCACCTCGTTCGTACGTCTTGCTGCAGACGACTGGGTGGCATATTCAGCTCCACTTGAATGTCCTCTAAGCGTGAATACGCAAGCGGCGAGTGTTTGAAGTGACCCACAATTTTTCTGCAGACAGCAACCGTATCACTCACACCACGCTGCTACAGCAGTCCCTCATTCACAATAAGTTGTAGCGTATGCGCGAAGCATCCTAAACTGGCAACTCCAAGACAGTCCATTGCTTTTATCCCATTACTGGCATTGTCTCTTAATTTTCCATGCATCAAGCAACCCATCAATCGCTGTGGCGACTGACTCTCCTGTGTGTGAACCAAGGAACTGCTTAGCCTGCAGCACTGCTTTTTGCAGCATAAAACTCGAGTCTACCCACTGTGCTGTCAGGCTTAGTAGGGACATCGGACACACGTTTGAGCTCCAAATGTCAAACTAACCGTGTCAGTGTTTCCCAAACATTTCAAAATGAACTCGGGCACTTCTTTGTACTTAAGTGGGACAGCCGTATCAGAAATGAAATGTCGATTTGGCAACTGATAACGAGACTCTAAATGTTCAACCAAACGTCGAAAACCCACATTTTCGACCACGGAAAGTGGCTGGTCATCTAACAAAATAAATGCGATGACCTTCTCCGTTATCACCTTTGCTTTGTTGCTCTCTGGGGGGAGTTTCTCACGCTTCAGTATTGTTTCCTGCAATGACTGCTGTCGCGGCTCACTTTTCTTCTTCGCACTTGTTTACTGCAAAAAGTCTTCATACTCCTTCCCGTGATGCTTTTGCAAATGCTTTATCAAGTTTGTGGTGTTGTAATGTCCAGTGCTGCTGCCACCACTTGAGAAACTGGCGTTGCACAAGTTGCATTCGGCTGTATTACTTTTTCCTTCCTTGCGCGCAAAGTAATTCCACACAGCTGACATGATAAAATCGCTAGGCTGTCACTCACAACGTTCTGTTTACACATGCTGCAGCGGCTGCATCTCTGTTTATGGCACGTCGCGCAACAGCAGGCTACCTCAGGCTGATAGTGTCTTACGGCATGTCGCGGAAAGTGAAAGTGAAGTTTTTTTGGGCTTAGGTATCAGATCGGACGGGCTATAGTTGTTTTTTTCGATGGTCGATCGTGAGATTTTGACCAATATCGGACCGATAGCGATCCTGAGTATCGTATCAAGCTACCCCTAGTAGGTACTATGAGCTCTTTAAGATATGAAGGGGACTGACCGTGAAGAGCATTGTATGTGAGGAGGAGGACTTTAAATTATATTCTGAATTTTACTGGGAGCCAGTGCAGAGAAGCTAATATAGCAGAAATATGATCTCTTTTCCTAGTTCCTGTCAGTACTCGTGCTGCAGCGTTCTGAATTAATCTGAGCATCTTAATGGACTTATTGGGGCAGCCTTATAATAAGAAATTGCAGGAATCCAGCCTAGAAGTCAGTGGTGGAGATTTGATACCGATACCGATCCGATACCCCCGCTGGTCCATCCGACTGGGGGGGGTTCTGCGTTGCGGCGCTTCTTTCCCGCTGCTCCATCCGACGGGAGCTGTGCGCTGTGATGGGAGCAGCACTCACAGACTTGGAGAGACGCTGTGCCCACATGAACTCAGAGAGAAACTACAACAAAAGTATCGATCTCATCACGATAGTATCGATCCGATACCAATACTCATCTTGGTATCGATACTATCAATGTTTAGATCAATACGCCCACCCCTACAAGTAACAAATGCATGGACTAGTTTTTCTGCGTCTGATTTTTGCAGTGTTACGTAAATGAGTACTAGAGGTCTGCTTTATGTGGGAGTTAAAGGAAATATCCTGATCAAAGCTAACTCCAAGATTCCTGACAGTGGTGCTTGGGGCCAAGTTAATACCATCTAGAGTAACTATATCTTTAAACAGTGAGTTTCTGATAATACATCAAGTGAGTTCAGTCAGGACCACTTTCGTCAAAATATCTTATATTCCAAGCAGAATTTACATTTGGCGGTATGGCTCTGTTCTGGGACCTCCTTGTCCTTCCGCGTGCCTACGTGGAAAACCTTAAGGCAGGGAGAGCACACCTCCCTGCCCTTCCATGTGTCTACATGGAAAAGTTTAAGACAAGGAGAGCGGCAGCAGAGACACCCCAGGGTACAGAACAGAGCAAGCATCAATGGCAATCAGAAAATGACATTGATTAATTAGAAACAACATAAAAAGGAGGAGCTGGGGTGGAGGTGGGTGCAAAAGGCTTGTAGAGGAGCAGCAGAGATAGGCAGGCAGGCTAAAGCAGCTTAAATAAGGCGCCATGTAGATGTTTGCCAATTGGATGCTTGAGGAAATCAGGTGAGCTGTCAGCTGACTGTGTATGGTATACAATGGGAAGCTTAGAGGAATCAGCTGATGTATGACTAGCTGGGATCGTATGATATAGCTGTAACTGAAAGCTAAGCCTGACTTCGTGCCCTGCCTGAACTAACGCTATGCTCAATATGTCAAGTCATTTTTCCATAAGAGTGTATGGTATTTATGCATGGTGTTTTAATTTATAACCAAAAAAGCCCCCCCTGCAGGTCTTAAAAAAAAAAAGAAGTATAAAAAAAATAAAAAAAAAAAAAAAAAAAAAAAAAAAAAAATGGACCCTGAGCTTTCTTCTCAACCCTTCACACAGCGATCTGTTTGAAGAAAATGTGCAAATTCCCAAAGTCTCAGAGTACTCTCAATTGCCTTTAAACCCTTCTCACTAACTACCTTGGTTGTGCTCAGCAGTCCATGTTATCTGGCGCTCCCAGCTTTCATCCTGTGACATCTCCAACATCGTTGGGCCTCCGTCCCCCAGCAGGTCCAGGGGAAGATCTTCGAGAGAGGGATGTTGCCCCTTTAAGGTGCCTCTCTCCCACCCGTTCAAGGTCCAGGCACTTGAAAGCCAGGCAAAGCCACCACAACCCAAATTCACCCCGCCAACACTCAGTCCCTCTGCTCCAAAAATATCCGAGTGGACAGTCGCTCGCCTGAAGCACGCTCTCATTCAGAAAAACTTACCCATCCACCGCTCCAACAACAATGCAAAACCTTTCCAACTATTAACAGACTCTCAGCAAAAAACACTTTCTCTTGCAGATCTTCACTGCCACTTCTGTGTTCCCAGTGTCCAAGGCGATGCCAACTTCATCGCAACGCATCATACAGCCCAGCCTTCCGCACCAGCCCTCTCAGAAAACCAAGTTGTATCAAGCTCAGTCCCTGCCCTCTCTGCTTTTCATCCATCCTTCTTTGTTTAAGATTCTGAGCTGTATTGCCGTGTTTTCGCAGCTTGCATTTCCCTAAATTGCGACCTATGCAGTGCTCCATACCGCCCCGCCACAACATGCACCCTCACTGCTTCTTTGCCTTGAGCCTCAGCTCCAATTAAACTTAGCCCTGGCCTTTTATGCACTGTGCTCTCTGCAACAAACTTCTGGATAGGAAGTTAAAGATGCATTCATGATCAGTCCATTTTCCAGTCCACCTTTCCCCACATTCAGAATCAGTCCAATTGGAGTTGCCATCAGGAAATATTCAGCAAAAAAAGACTCATTGACCTCATCTTCCACCATTCAAGTCTACATGAGTGAAATTAACTTTCTTATCAAACTGTACTCAGTGGCACCATGTCTAGCCATGTCCCACTCACACATCAGCATATTAATTAAAGGTCACTGTAAGGCTAAACCACATCCTACACCAAAATGTTTGCACCTCACTTCAGACCTCCTCGCCCACTGCATCCGAACTCTGCGTGCAGGCTATTCAGCCTCATACATTAAAGAAGTCCTAGAATCCAGGTTCCTTCTGGCATGCTTCAGATTTCTGCGCTACTCTGAGTTAATATCTTCCAGCCTCAACTGTCATCCTTCTCGTCATGCAACCATATCTGGCATTTCCATTAATTCTTCTGACTCTCTCATTTACCACCTTAATTGCATTGGGTCTCTGTAAATAATTTTATAAGGAGTACAGTCTAGACCTGCTCTATTTTGAAAAGTGTCCTGAGATAACTTCTGTTATGAATTGGCACTATACAAATAAAATCGAATTGTAACCATACTCAGGGCATTCTTTTTGCATTGCAGCTGTCTCCACTGCTTCCAGGCAGGGAATCCCAGATAACATCATTAAAATCCTCGCCAGATGGATCTCCAGTGTACCTCATATACATCCATAATGACCTGAACGATATCAAAAACGCCCATGCCCATCTTTCGATTTCAAGTTCTTTTGGGGGCTCCAAGGGAAAAGAAGAGACGGCTCCACCAGTCGGTCTTAACATCCACTTGGTTCCCTCCCACCATCTTGCCTAAACACCTCCATCCATCCATCCATCCATCTATAAACCTAATTTTCACCCCATCCGTTCATGCCTCCCCCTTCCTTCCCATACCCCTTCATCCCTTGACCCCACTCTTACCCCTACATCCCTCATCCTTCATCCCTTTACACTCATCCCTTCATCCCTCAATCAATAATTCTAATTCCACATGTTCATTGCCATGTTCTTTGTTAGTGAATTTATCCACCTGTGTCTATTGTGCCCACTCGCCTGTTGCATGCTCTCTTGATGTCTCAAGAGATCAGCTCAGCAGATACCATCTAGAAACGATTTAAATTGACAGTGACCTCTAAATGCCACCTAAACTTTTCAAAGACATGCTGAAACTGAAACAGAGAAGTAATGCACTGTGAATGGGATGTTAAACTGCTGGGATTATCTGGGGGCAAAACATAAAAATAAGGGACTGTATTCAAATGAAAAGAAACATTTACAGCCTCAGCTTAGCCAACTTCAACCCAGAACACCTGGTAGATGGCCAATGGTTGACATGAGGAAGATAAGCAAAGAAGGCACAGTACTTCAATCTCTGTGGAGAGAAAAAGAGCAGCAACAGAGGTGAGGAGGATCAAGGGGTGGGGAGGGAAAATAGAGATAAATCAGATGTATAACAGAAATCTTTGATCATAAAGCTGCCAGAGCTCAGCAGATTCTCCTCTCTGTGCTGATGGAGACCTTGGAGGGAAGTGAACTCTGCTTTCCACAACTCCTCAACACCTCCTGCAGGAAGCCAGTGCGGCATCATTTTGAGACCATGCTGATTTACATTCTGCTGTCCTCCATCTCTCTGCTCACTGCAGTTCTTAACCTGCTGGTCATCATCTCTATCTCCCACTTCAAGTAGATAATCATTCATTTATAAAACTAGTAATACAAAGTATTGCCTGATCTTAAAGGAAAAGATTATTATTATTGTTTTTTAATGTTATTGCATTTGAATCTTTTCTTTTACTGTTTAATCTCAGTGATGATCAACAGTAGACATTTTCAATATATTGCTGGTCTTCCTCCCCAGGCAGCTCCACACCCCCACCAACTTCCTCCTCCTCTCTCTGGCTGTCTCAGATTTCTTCGTGGGTCTCCTCATGTTCTTCCAAATTACGCTCACAGACGGCTGCTGGTCCTTTGGTGACCTCATGTGTGTTGTGTATCAGTATCTAGCATACATTATTACGTCTGCCTCAGTAGGAACAATGGTAATCATATGTGTTGACCGCTATGTGGCTATTTGTCATCCTCTGCATTACTCCACCAAAGTCACACAAAAAAGAGTTCAAGTCTGTATTTGTCTGTGCTGGATATGCTCTCTATTATTTCAAAGTCTGAATCTGAATGATGTCCTGAAACAACCAGGCAGGTATAACTCCTGCAAGGGAGAGTGTGTATTTTTCATTAACTATATTGCTGGATTTGCAGATCTTATTTTTTCATTCATCGTTCCCATTACTATTATTGTTGTTTTGTATATGAGAATTTTTGTTGTGGCTGTGTCTCAGGCTCGGGCCATTCAGTCACATATTGCAGCTGTCACACTCCAGAAATCAGTGAAAGTAACTGCTAAAAAATCTGAAATGAAAGCAGCCAGGACTCTTGGTGTTGTTGTAGTTTTGTTTCTAATATGTCTCTGCCCATATTATTGTGTTGCTCTTACAGGCCAAGATAGCCTACTCAATGCTTCATCTGCCGCCTTTGTATTATGTTTGTTCTATTTTAACTCCTGTCTTAACCCTATTGTCTATGCTCTTTTCTATCCCTGGTTTAGAAAATCCATTAAGCTCATTGTTACATTGAAGATACTGCAGCCTGACTCCTGTGAGACCAACATACTGTAGAGAGACTCTATGTGATGCCTGAAATTAGACTAACAATATACTTGGTCATGGAAATTGTATCAATTTACCAGTGAAGCTACTTGGGGTTTGTCCATTTACATGTATTTTGGACAAATCATCACCTCTAGGATTCACTGTGCAGTCTGTAGGTATCAAGACCATGACACATTATTGTTATGCTGACTGTATGCTTAAGCACAGTGGATGTGAAAGTTTTATATCCACATTAAAAGAACAATGTAGGCAATAATTCTCAGTTTTATACCCACAGACATTAGCATTTAAAGTTAAGAGTCAGCAATTAACTGTAACCTCAGAACCTCAAGAAATACTAAAAATGCATGTATGATCATTAATTTTGTATTAAACCAGCCAATTAATCACAGCTGTTGACTTATAGTCTGATGTCATTTATTTGTTCTGATTCCTTGCAATTTTACAAGTTAGACAAAAAAGTTAATTAAACAAAAAAAGGAATATACACTCCATCTGCAAGGGTAACACAAGTTCAAGGTCCAGTGTGTAACATTTTGGAGGATCTATTGGCATAAACTGAATATAACATCCATAGGTAAAGTATTCATGGTGCTTCACTTTTTCCGCATTTTGTTATGTTACAGCCTTATTCCAAAATGGTTTAAATTCATTTTATTCCTCAAAATTCACACACATAAACACAATACCCCACAATGACAACGTGAAAAGGGTTTGTTTAAAATTTTAGTAAAGTATTAATAATAAAATCCAAAAAAAGAAAAAAAACTATGTACATAAGTATTCACAGGCTTTGCCATGACGCTCAAAATTTAGCTCAGGTGCATCCTGTTTCCACTGATCATCTTTGAGATGTTTTTGCAACTTGACTGGAGTCCACCTGGTAAATTCAGTTGATGTTGGGGGGCGAAAGCCTGATGATGTTGAAGTTGTTGTGGAGAAAAGCTGGGATGGTAGGCGAAGGAAAGGATTTTGGGAGCTTGCCAGTTGTCTTCAAACATGTCGTTGTCTGAAGAGTTGAAGATGGGTTCGTTTTCCACGGTTCAATGTATTCGTTTTTTGTATTTCTTGTCTGAGGCAGATCATGGGGAACCAGGATACAAAACATTTGAGGAGACACTAGGCAAAAAATAAAATAAGAACAATTAAAAGCATTTAGAGGTAAGGCAAAATAAACCATAATAAAAGACCGCCATCAGTAAAAATAAGTTTGAACAATAAAACAGATAAATCAAATTGCACAACTGACCATACAGGGGGCACAAAATAAAACAGTTAAAATGTACAAATTAAGGAATGAATCTGAGGCTGTTCCCCAGCTTATTGGGGTGCAGAAATTCAGCAATGTAGCTGGGAGTGGTGAAATGCTTTGTAAGTGATCAGTAAAATCTTAAAATCAATTCTAAAACTGACTGTTAGCCATTGAAGAGACTCAAAATGGCTTTTTGGTTTAACCCTGAGTATAAAGAACTGCAATAGTCCTGTTAAGATGAAATAAATGCATGGATGACAAGCCATGAGAGAAACGACCTGATCGTAGAGATCATAGCTCCATAGCTGATAAAAACAGATTTGAACAACACTTGTAGTTAGTTTTTCAAATCGGAGGTCTTCACAACTCCACACCTCCGTGAATCCCCCCTCCTCCACCACAGAGACAACTTTCTGCCTCCAGGAGAGGGACGTCAACAGTCTTTAAGTCTTTAACCGGGAGAAACCCTGCAAAGCAGCCGGACCAGACTCTGTCTCTCCATCTACCCTGAAGCACCGTGCTGACCAGCTGTCTCCGGTGTTCACTGACATCTTCAACACCTCACTGGAAACATGTCATGTGCCAACCTGCTTCAAAGCATCCACCATCATCCCTGTCCCCAAAAAACCAAGGACCACACGACTCAATGACTACAGACCTGTCGCCCTCACCTCTGTGGTCATGAAGTCTTTTGAGTGCCTTGTGATTTCCCACCTCAAAGCCATAACGGAGCCAACAGGTATGTAGACAATGCATTAAACATGGCCCTGCACTTCACCCTCCAGCATCTGGACTCCCCAGGAACCTATGCCAGGATATTGTTTGTGGACTTCAGCTCTACTTTCAATACCATCATCCTGGCTCTGTTAAAGGACAAGCTCTCCAAGCTCACTGTGCTTGACTCCACCTGCAATTGGATCTTAGACTTCCTGTCTGACAGGAAACTCTCGGACCATCAGCACCAAATCTCCCCAAGGCTGCGTTCTTTCTCTGCTCTTCTCCCTGTACACTAACAGCTGCACCACCAGTCACCAGTCTGTCAGGCTCCTGAAATTTGTGGATGACCCCACGCCTACAGATGGGAGATCGACCATCTGGTGACCTGGTGCAGCCAGAACAACCTGGAGCTAAACGCTCTACAAACAGTGGAGATGGTTGTGGACCCAGAACCCAGCCCCACCCGCCCCCATCATCTTGTGTGACTCCCCAGTTGACTCTGTGGAGTCCTTCTGCTTCCTGGTTCCCCCCATTACCCAAACCCCAAAAGGGGGCCCAAAAAAAACCCCCCCCACAAAAAAAAACCACAAAAAAAAATAACCCCCCCCCCACGGGGGGAAAAAAAAACCAAAAAAAAAAAAAAAAATTTAAATACACACCACCAACAAAAAAACCCCCCCCCCCCCCCCCCAAAACCCCCCCCCCCCCCCCCCCCAAAAGGAAAAAAAGGAAAAAAGAAATTTTTTTTTTACTGAATATTTATCTTTCCTCACCACGATTTCTACCCCCCACACAAACTTAAAACTTCCCTGGTTGGGAAACTCTGTCCGCGCAGTCCTTCTGCTTCCTGGGTTCCATCATATATCATATAGTATATTTATATATATATATAAATATGTAAATCCGATCAAAAAGCAGTTAAGCGTACAGGAGCATGTGATATCGCATCTGCAATGATGCTGTCTACTTCTTTAATATGCTTAATATCAAGGTCATAGGCTTGAAAAACACAAAGACCACCTCATCAATCTCTGATTTGGACATCTAAGAGACTCTAAAAACATCGGAGGGCTGTGATTGAAACCACGAGACTATCACAGCTAGTGTTTCGACCGGACCCAGGAGCAGACACTCAGACAGGATGGGGCGGTTTAATGGAGCTTTATTCCACACACACACACACACACACACGGGAGGGACGAGGGGCGGCCACAGCAGGTACAGGCAGGTGAAACGGCAAAAGAGACTGGAATGACGGAGGCACAGGTGAGTTGACTTAATATAAGAAGCTCACCCTAGCTTCAGCCCAGCATCAATTCATCACCCAAGCTTCTCGCATCTCAGGTCGCAAAACACAATCGCAGACACGCTCTCGCTTCTCGTTTCAAAAATTCTGACAATCTTTACTAGCCTAGTCACTCCGACTCTTGTCCCAACATCTTCAGCCACCATCTTCTTGTAGGACCTTGTCCTCGTCTTCCTCTACAAGAGACGCTTTATCCGTCTCTTAATTCAACAATCATCATATTATTTTGATTAGGTTCCACCACGCTTGATTCACACACGAAAAAGAGCTGGTGTCTGTCTATAAGCTTTGATTCCCATCTTTTAAGTTTACGATAATTTTCGATTAGGGCCTCTCAGTTCTAAAATTTACTCTCGTAATATTTTAAACTTACTGCTGCATCGCAAAATCCACCATCGCTCCTGAATCACCTAATAGTAATAATTCATATATTGTCCAGATGTTCTGTTACTTGTTGTCATTTGTTTGCATTATCATTTCATACTATTTACTCTGCATTAGTTTAGTTAATAAACATATATAACCGTATGTCCTTGTCCGTGCAGGTTTGATTTGATGCGGGGACACTGATGAATTGTGTAAAAGAAATCACTACTTCAGAAATATGAGATTGAATATAGATTTTGAAATTTAATAAATTGATCTGAAATTGATTTGATTAGATCTGTGGAATAATTTCCTCCGGATTATTCCAGTAACTAAACAACGGAGGTGGTGCCCCATTTACGAGTGTATTATTAATCTTCTGTGATTAACCCTTTAGGCGCCGGGTTTTACTTTGAAAAATACTAGATTTTGACATCTAAATTTCAGAAGGCTCTGGCTTGAAAGTGGTTTGAGATAGAGACAAAGTGTAAATGAGACAAATATTGAGAATGACCTTATGAGAATGAGATTGTTTATCTAGGGAGTAAATTTCCCCATCTAATTTGCATATTATGACGTCATATGGTGACGGCCATATTGAATTATATAATTTCCATTAAATACCTGATATTTTGAAAGAGAGTTGAACTTATTTCATCGGATTCACCCCCCTCCATCTATTTGTTATGTTGTCCACATATCAAATGAACAGGGAAAAGTAAATTGTAAGCCAACAGTCATAAACTAGAACTATTACTACCACAAAACTCATGTAAACAGTAGGCGTTTTTTATGATTTTTTACCCACTACCACCCCCCCTATTGGAGGACACTTTTTCTTTTCTTTTTTATTCTCTTCTTCATTATTATTATTATTATTATTATTATTATTATTATTATCGTCATTATTATTATTATCGTCATTATTATTATCATCATTATAATATGATAATAATAATAACAGTAGGCGTCTTTTAGCTGCAGAGGCCTAATCTGATCTATCCAGATAAAAGTTTGTAGTATTTGTAGTATAGTGTGGAACCTCTCATTGCAAGGCACAGTACAGAGACAATATGAACAATATTGAGACCCCACCACATAGCTAACAAATGGACAGGTACACATCCGCATCGGTTGGCTGCGCCACTGTCGCGCATGGACGCACTGTGATCGGCGCGGTAGAAAGAGTGAACACTAACGCTGGTCCCAGCGCTATTCTCACCACCCCCGCTACTTCTACCACATCCATTAGCTCCCTTACTGATACTACGAGTTTATGTAGTACTCCCACCTATATTGGGCAAAGGGTCGTGTGTTTGTGCTTGTGTGTTGTCCTCGCTCTGCCCGGCAGCGGCGGTGCAAAGACGCACCGTGCCTATCACGCTCACTAAACGACCGGCCGTCATCTCCCAAAGGTAGATTTTCCCCTTCAGAATCAGAGTCAGCGAATAGGAGACCCATCACTTCCCTAATCATCAACTTTTAGCTTGTCATTTCCGTTTATTTCGTCTCAATAACTCCTAAATCCAGCAATACCGCTTCAGCATAAATAGCGCCATGGCGCACTATTTCCTGTTTCTCGCCCAACAGTTTGGACGGGTCTTCCTCGAACATTTTGCATTGAAACATGATGTTTTTCTGAGCTAAGGTCTAAGTACGGGATGTCTGCCAACTAGTGGAGGGGAGTATGAATGAGATATAACACTCTATTAGGAGAAAACAGCTGTTTGATTCAGTACCGCGTCCTGTC